ACAATATTGTTTAAGGGAGTGCTAATTTTTCAGAACAATATTTAATTATTATATTGGGTATGCAATGCGGGCCTGGACATGTAATCGATTTTAAACTACGCAAACTATTGGATACATCATGACAAGACATCTTGCAACGCATACAATGTTAATCAGACGGATATGAAAGTTTGATTTGGCAGGTTGTACTCGAATAGATTGAGGGAAAAATTAAGCAAAACATTAATCAAAGCCTTTATATTTATACTTAGCAATCGAGTAATTGGTATAGTCTATAGTTAAGCCTTTTCGTATTTAAGATAAAGCTTATTTTTGTATTTATTGAACTTAGTGGAATTTTTAATTTAACCAATTGGAACATATTCCACTCTAAATTTATATAAAATATAAAATTTATCAATTTCATATTCAATATCTATATTTTACCAAATAATTTTTATATTTAATTACTTTTCAGTTAAGGCATTGAAAACAACGTATTTTCACTACAAAAATTGCAATATTTATTCCAATTTTTTATTGCTTATATTTTTTCGTACGCGAAAGAGAGTTATTTCCCACATAAAATTTTACTGAGTAATTTTTAATAGAAAATTTGTCATGCATACCTTATAACTAACTATAACATAAAATATATAATAACACAAAATTTGCAACATGACGGAATATAGCAAGGGCCGGCGAAATGATAAATATAATTTTTTAACTTCGGGGTGTGGGTAAAGGGCTTAAGCGGTGGAAAATACAACAAGACCTTCCTAGAGTTTTATTTAATGAAATGAGAGATGAGGTAAGGGTGATATACGCGTGTGTAGTGCGATATAAAACTAAAACACAAGTATAAAATTAGTGTAATTCTACATATATTTAATGGTTCTGCGTGATCGCAGAGGTTCCCAGATCTATTTACATTACATATACCAATACAGAGAGTGAACGCAGAGTTTCTATGTAATCGCAGAGGATCCCTTCTCTTTTTATTACAACTTCTTACAGTGATAGTAAACCGACAACAACCATCGCCCCTTTTACATCTGCACTTTACTTTATTTATTTATTTTTTCCAATTTTTCTATCAAACATTATTGCTACGCAAACACAACGTAAGAAGAGGCGTCTTTTCGTCTTATGAAATTATTTCATTAATTTTGAATATTTAAGTTTCATCGAGCTAATTTTCTCCAGAATCATATATCAACGCCAATACATAAACTTTATGTCAACTTGTCTTCTTCATATATGTTGTAAGCACAAGAGTAAACGATTCAAATGATAACTGGCTTAAATCGAAATATATTGAATTGGCCAGATCTTCAAGGGATCTAGCTTACAGGGAATATATTCGGCATAGAACGATGCACTATATGTAATTCCACATGCAGAATGTGGAAAGTTGGTGTGAGTAGAGTAGCTATAGCATATTGGAGGTTTTCAAAAACTGGTGAATTGAGGCGGGCAAAATGCCGAAAAATTATGTTCAAACACCGATTCTCTGCAATAAACGAATTATGATATTTATCATCAACGTCATTAATATGATCCAGCTGTGTAGTCTCGGATGTCGAGAAGTAAGTTTTCCACTCATCATATGCCCACTTGACTTTGTTCCACATTTCCCTGTGAATTTAGAAATTGTAGACAATATACGTGTATTTATTTATGGACTGGAATCACATCAGCGACTCGATGGAAGCGAACAGGTGCAGTTATCGATTGATTAGATTCGAGAAAATAGAAATGTGTTTTAAGAAATGTTGCTATGTATGGGAATGTATGTATGGGAATTTTCGCGGTAAATTTTTGCAAAACTAGAGCGAAAGGGTTACGGAAATTCTCAGGGCCAGTGTTATTGTTTGGGAAAAGAAAAACTAAAATTCACATGTAAAATCCCATGCCTATTTATAATACATATGCAAAAACAGACAAGTGAACACAGAGGTTTAATGTGATCGCAAAGGATCCCTTCCAGTGAGAGTAACCGGACAACAACCATCACCCGTTGGCATTTGCACTCTCAAAAGAAGCCCGTGGTGTCAATCTACATCCGTGATTGTCTGGGTTCGGGAAGTTGTGGTGGAATAATACTTATAAATTTATGTTTAAATTTTTTAATGCTACATTGGTGATTTTTCTCATCTGTATTAAGCTATATGCATGTATGCTACTTAAAATTATGGCTTTGTCTGTGACAGTTATAATTTCTGCATTTTTTCTACTATCCGAGTATTAAACACAAACAATCAAAAGTAATATTGTTCTTCAAGCAAAGCATAAATGAAAATAATCCACTATAGTTTTGGAAAAACATTAATAATTTGTGTTTAATTTTTTCCCCAATTCTTGTATCAAACATTATTGCTTCGCAAACACACCGTAAGAAGGGCGTAATTTCATCTTATGAAATTATTTCCTTAATTTTGAATATTTAAATGTTATCGAGTTAATATTCTTGTGAATCATATTTCAACGCCAATACATGAACTTTATGTCTTTGTGTGATATTAAATTTTTTTTATCAATTCTTTAATATCAATATTTATTATAGTCTCCTTCATACCTGTTGGGAGCAAAAGAGTAAACGATTAAACGAAATGATAATTGACTTAAATCGAAAACTATTATATTGGCCAGATCTTTGAGGGATCTGCCTTACAAGGAATATATTCGGCATAGAACATCTGATAACATTAATATTTTTTGTTTTTTTTTTTTAAGAATAAGGCTAAGTCTGTGTTGAGAAGAGAGAAAACAGTATTCCATGGATGTATTTAATGGTATAAATGTTATTCAGATTTGAATTAAGTTGAGGTCTGGAGGTCTGAGGAAATAGATGTTGATGACCTAAATGATTCATTCATTTAGTCTGGGTATGTTCCTATTCCGGATACAGTAGATTTGTCTGGTTATGATGGTGAACATTACTCTTACTCTTTTGAATGTATTTTTGAAGAGGGTCTTTTCGTAGCATTGCATTCAATTAGATCGTGTTCCACGGGAATTGATGGCATAACGATCTAGTTTGTGAGAATTATATTGCGGCATATTTCAAACGGCACGCATATTACCCATACCCAAACAAAAAATGTATTCTCAATTGACAATATGCTTTATGATGATCAAAAATTGCTAAAGCCATACCAACGTGGTCATGGTACGGTTTCTCATTTATTGATGTTTGTGATAATGGAGTTCTAATTGGATATATGTATAGCGTTTGACAGAGTCGACATGCAATAACGACAGATTACCCAAAAAATTAAATTCTTTTTCAATACTATTGCTTGTAAGCTTGTTTTCTCATATCTAAGCGGTAGTTCTCATTTCGTAGATTACAATGTATTTGTCTCTTGCATTAGAGAAATATGTAGCGGGGTGCTAAAGAGTTCTGACCTTAGTCCCCTGTTATTTACTTTAAATATTAATGAATTGCTTGATTCCCTTGATATTGACTTGTTCTCCACTTAAATATGCATTAACAATTGTTATTGTTAATATGAAAAAGCAAATATAAGAGAATCGTAGACGGGGACGTGTAGTACCCATTAATACCTTGAAATTCGAGATTTCAAACACTTTTGGTGGATAATGTCGCTAAAATCATCAAAACACCACATATAAGGAGTCCATGAACCGTTACGAACATAACCTGCCTGCTAGTAAAATATTTCTATCTCAATTCGTTCGAAAGATAACGTGATTAAAACATACAGAAACACAGACCGACGGGCGTCGCTAAATCGACTTAGAATTTTACGCTGATCAGGAATATGAATACTTTGTTTGGTCTGGAAAAAGTATTTCGCGGAACGACAAAGTTAATATACTGTCCATAGTATGGTGGATAGTATGGTTGAATATAAATATATGATAAATTTTCGGTTCGAAAATTGGCAACAATTTTTTTTTTTAATTAATGTGTGTTTGCGTGGAAATATCGTTTTTTCTTTAGAAAGTCTGATATTGGAAAATCGAATATTGAAAAATAAGGAAAATTTACTTTTAAAATAACAGTCTGGTACCAATCCGAAACAAACTTGTTGTTTGCTGGAGTTAAAATATCTAAGAAATGATTACCAGTGTTGTTCTATGTAAGTATGAAAGCCCAAGTAGCTCAAGGAAGTGTCTTTGGTTATAGACAAATTTGACCTCGAGCTTTTAAGCAAACTTCTGTCGATGAATTAGCAGTAGTTTGGAAATCGAATAGAAGGGGTTGGATGACGATTAAATCGAAAAATGGGAGAATAGTAGCGAAAGAAAGCTCTATTTTTGGAAGTTGAGTTAGAAAACATAAATATAATAAAGTTACCTCCAAATACAACTTCAGAATGCCATCCACTAGGATCAAGAAATTATCCGATCTTTTAGGTTTCACTATCGCAGTTTCATAATCAAAAATATTTTGGCAAATTTAGAATCACAATTTAGAATCACAAATACAACATCCTGGAATACATATTTTTTATTGAAGCCGGATTGAAAAGTTGTCAGCATCGACACAATTCAAAACTGCTTTCGTAAAGCTGGGTTTGATAAAGATATTTGCGAATCTCTTGAATTTGACAACGAAGATTGCATTCATTTACAATACTTACAAATGCTAATAAGACATTGTGAGACGATTCGGCCAGAAGAATATCTCTCCATTGATCAATTTTTTTATCTTTATAGTTTTTGTAATGTAAAGAAAGATTTTCTTTTGTTGTATTTTGTTAAATACGCAAACAAATAAACACTTTTTGTGAATATACAAAAGGCGATATAAGGGGATGTCCTCCTTTAAAATATATCTACATTACATAGTCCTAGCTGACGCAATATACTTCCAAATGCTTCAAATTGATAATTACCAATTTTTGACCTTGGAATAAGGCTTGGTTTTGGTCGGTTCATATTTTTGATGTAACATTATCATATATTTTGTTATTTATCATTACACCTAACAATAATTTTACTGATTTGCAATGGTGCCGTAGAATATGAGATTTGTTTCATTTGCTTACCTTGCTAGCATCGCCATATGGAAAAAAATTTCCATAAATTTTTTTGAATTCTTCAACGGATAAATGACCACTGGGGCAGTCTTTTAGAAATCCTTTGTACCATTCTTGTATTTCAGCGTCTGAAAAACAATTGTAAAGAATTTCCAAAAATTTAATTATAATAAATAAGAAAAGGAAACCGAACCGTTCGTAAATTGATACTTATATATTAACATTTATTTATATATTTTTTAATGCTACCATATGGCTACAGAGGGTATATATCATTTGACACGGTTAAAACGTGCCTCATCGATATATAACGGTTTTAGACATTTGGAGTCGTGTCCGTCTGTCTGGCTCGCTTGTGCGCACGATAACACTCGAACAGAGTATCCGATTTGATCCAATCTTGATACATCGTAATATTGTTGCTAAATTTAGATCGAGTTCGGAAATGGGCAAGATCGGTCTGGTACCTTCCCCACAAAATTTTTAATAATTTTATCTCATATAAAATGCCATTCGATTAAAATGCCGCACATCCCAATATTTTTATCAACACAAGATTTAGTCTGCAGATGGGATAAATCGGTCCACTCCTTCTGGTAGCTCCCCTAGAAAGGGTTCAAAATTTTTAATAACAAAACGTTTATGAAATGCGAAATAAGCACTGGATTCGTTCCAAATTTCTAACATCCCAATATTTCTTCCAACTCAAGATCTGGTGTGAACATGATAGATATGGGTCCCACCCCTTCTGGTACCTTCCTCACATGTGTTAAATGTTGAATACTTGCGAATCAGGTCAATTCTTTGGTATACATATCGATTCAAAATTTCAATTTCGCACATCCCAACATTTTTACTAGTATTAAATGGAATGGTATAGTCCAGTACATTATATTTCAACATTTTCCAAGAATAATTACATACCTCATATTAAACGAAGGAAGTTGTAGATATAGTTCCAATCTGGCACTTCAACAGTTTGAATAATCATAGCGCAAGTTTATTTAAATAAAACATTTGCTGAGGATATACATCTGTTAGCAAAAGCCTATTGATACTTTTTAACTTGATTTTTAATAATATTATACTTAATACCTTAAATGGCTAAGATACCCTGATGCAAAGTGGCATAAATGATAGAACCTATTGCAAAGTTTAAATGCCAAAAAGTAAACCCAAAAAACTAGGTCCTATAAGAAAAGTATCGTCACAGTATGAATATCAAACCTCAAATTTTTAACGCTTCTGTAGAAATATGTAGCTAAAATTATCAAAATACTGAATAACCAAAGACACCGTTATATGGGACTATAATAAAACGTGGACCTTTATATACAACCAATTACGAACTCTTAGTACCGAATTTTAAACAAAATCCGAAATCATTGAGAATTGCTGATATTTATTGCGAAGTATTAAAAACTACTGAAATGCAAATTGTAACTGCAGAAGAAAATTTAGTACGTTAATTCATCCTGATTTAATCCCATTTCAAACAATAAAGAATGTACCATTATACGAAGGCTTTAAAAATATGTAATCATACAGAAACTTTTCTGCTAGTGAAATTTATCAGTTATATAATCGGCAAATTTATCCTTAAAAAATATGCAACTAAATCTGTTTATGTAGAACAATGGGGAAAAGAAAATACAATGAGGAAAATAAAACAAATATAATTAATTTCTTTTTTTCTCAGTAAGTAAGTGTTTTTTCGACAATAAGTATTACCTCTTATCAATATGGTATGTTGGCGACAATGGCCGTGATGGGTTTCGCTTCAAAGACTAAAGACAGGTGAACGCAGAGGTTCTAGGTGATCGCAGAGGATCCCATGTCTACTAATACAACTACTTCCAATGAGAGCATGTGTGACAAGGTGAGGTTACCGACAACAAACAATGCCCAGCGACGATCCGCTCACTACGGTCTCCGCCAGGGGAGTTGTAGAGGAGATGCCTGTGCGCCAATCAGCATCCGTGATTGATCGAGCAAGGGAAGTTGAGGGACAAAGTATCTAACTTATACATTGCCGCCCACCTTGATATACATGCATGTGTATCAACTAAATAAAGCTCAAAGGAATTATGTTATATATTAATTCATGTGCAATAAGGTTTACAAGTTATAGGTTAGGACGTAAGTTCAGTTTATTTGTGAGCATTTTATTCAAATCATTTTTATTCATATAATTAGATATCTATACCGCGGCAATTACAAATTGACGGGCCTGAAATTACCCAACCAAACGAGGTATATTTCGCAAACAACAGACTTAATTATGTAACACGACTAACTTGACGACTGGTCGCCTAACAATACCCTAAGCAGTTTGAACGTCTACAACACGAACCTTACTATCATTGCCAGGATGCGTCTCGACTAACTAAACAAACTCATTAAACCTAATGGAAAACTGATTCGTCAATGCCTTACGTTTTCTATACCGATTGACTAAACTCAATGACGATTCTTCAACAAGGGGTTCTGGCAGAGCAGGAAGGGGGGCTCCTATAACAAAGTTTGCGTTGAAGCGAATTTTCATTCCATAAAAATGGACTCATAACATTCTGAGGCTAATCACCAATTTTCAGGCTGTGAGGAAATTCAGAACGTATGGGAAGTGGGACAACGTAACGACACTTCGAGTTTCTCGTAGTTGTGGACCGGAAATTGTCCTCGCAGAACTTGTCTGATGACGAAAGTAATTTGCGTTTGGGAACCTCCTCAAGTTCCCCAAAACGCAGAATGGTTTTATTGAGGCTGTCTTCCTCACTAAAGCTCAAAGTAGTCGCAAAGACCTGCAAGGGTGAGGAGGTAATTGGACCCGAGAGGATCCAACCAAAGACGGTATTTTGCGCCAATAGAGAACCTAATATATTTTGTTGTACCCCAGGCAACAATATTTGCGGATATAAGTCTGCACCCAACAACATATCTACTGAACGACACTCAAAAATGTGTGGGTCAGCCAACTGGAGATTTGGCAGAGAACGAACTAAAGCAGGGTCAACAGAAAAGGATGGAAGGTTACTAGAAATCTTGGGGAGAACCAAAGGATCGGTTTTCAACAAAATTGAAGCACTTAAGCGAGAACTTATACAAATTCGACAGTTTTTCCTAGAGGTAACGGAAGACGAACCGTTTACACCAGAAATGGTTGCAAGAGTGGATCGAGACTATAACTTCAATCAATTTTGAAGGTTCTCAGTTATAAAACTAGCCTCAGACGCAGGGTCAATGAGGGCTCGAACAGGATAAGAATTTCCTTCGTGAACAATATTTACAATGGCGGTACCGAGAAGGACTCGAGAGTTATGCGATGTGTGAAACACTTGACGGTTTACTACAGTCGGATTTGCACCAGTGGATGTAGAGGCAACATTATCTGAATTAGAATTGGAATGAGCTCTTGGGACTTGACTGTGGGCGTCATATTTGATGAGGAGCTATTTGTAGGTGCCGATCGATTGAGTTTATGCATAAGTGTATGATGTTTTTCATGGCATACACAGCAGCTATGTGCACTGGGACAATTACTAACAGAATGACCTCTTGACAAATAATTGAAACACAAGCCATACTTTTTTACAGCAGTAATTTTTTGATCGAAAGACATCTTTTTGAAACGATGACAAGAGTAGAGCGCATGATTTTGTTTAGGGCATACAACACAACGATGTTTTGGATAAGATTTTACTGTATCAGAGGAAGTTTTCGCCAAATGTGCCTTGTCGTTGCGTTGGTTTGGGGAGTTTGATGAATTTATACCTTTTATGTCCCGCAAACAGGCAAGCGTCTGAATTCTCTCCGTAAGGAACGAATCAAGCTGAGCCCATGACGATAAGGAAGACTTATCTGTGAGACTCTGTTCCCAGAGTGTCACCGTATGTTTTGGCAGACGCTGAATACAAATAAAACTAAAATAGGATCCCAATGATCCGTGACAATGTCATAGACTGACATGGCAGATAAACAACCTTTAATGCCCCTTTGCAAAGTCTTAAGACCTGAACTCGTTTCATTAGCTAACGATGGAAGATCGAACAAAAGCTTTAAATGACTATTGACTAGAATTCTTTTGTTGTCATAAGCATCCTTAAGAGCTTTCCAAGCCAGAACAAAACTTTTATGAGTGAGTGGAAACTTCGACACAATTTCCCTAGCCTCACCTTGAGTTTTCTTAATCAAATGACACAACCTCTCAATATCAGTTAATCGGGAATTATTTATGAACATTGGAGAAAATAAATCCCGGAATGTGGGCCATGACAAAAAATCTCCGTGGAAATCATCTATATCGCACGGCGGTAAATTAAGATTATGGAAGGTTTCGGAACCACAAGGCGGTAAACTCCAATTCGAAACTGAGATATCATAAGTACTCTGAATATCTGGATAAGCCATATTTGATAAAGGCGGCAAACTATTATTCAGTACATTGTTTGGATTGGATTATTTTTTTAAAATTCGAATACCGCACATAGAAGAATAAAACACAAGCAGTGTTTGACGGTCGAACGGTGACGGGGGTGGGTTAACTACCACACTACGAGCTGACCGACGACAATGGTCGCAACGGATATCGCACAAAAGAAAATAAAACACAAGCAGCGATAGCAGAGCGCTCAGTGTGTGTGGGTAAGCAACTGCCTCGCTACGAACTTACCACATAGCCAAATGAAAATATAGACAACGAAAAGTTAGTTTTGTCTTTTTTTACAGGTGGCTCTCATCATGTTTTGCATAGTCAACATGCTGATTTACGCGTTCAACCCACTCGACTTCGAAAACACATTTTATCGTTTTTCAAGAATTTCACTTGATTAATCCGGAATTTTTCGATATCATCACGTACTTTTCACATTTTTTCTATTATGGAACAATTTTCAACTGACAAATATCCTACAGATTTTTTTCGAAGATGACCAACCAACGACGACGAACCAACAGTGAGAGTTGGAGAAATAAATAAGTTGTTGTTATAGTTGTTGGTTAGTAGACTGACGTTAGAAAAAGGCGCTTAGAAAGGTATTATTGTTATTGAAATATTACAAACAGACCAACGAAAATGACCCAACAGTGTGTGTTGGGGCGAGGTACGGGGCAATTTAGCAAGTGTTGGTAT